TAATTTTATTTATGGTATAAATATAAATATCTATTTCTTTAATAACGTAATTGATATTATAATATTGAATATCTTTTATGAAAGATTAAATAAATGATAAAATAAAAATGAATATAAAATTAATAAATAACATTAAAAATGATATTCAGAAGTATTGCGAATTAAATATATCAATATTTTATTTATTTATTAAAAAATACAAAAAATCAGTTTAGCAATATCTATTAGTAATAAACAAAAGAATAAAATAAAGAGACAGAACGAACTTTAAATTACAATTTAAAGAACTTCTTATATTGATCAAAAGCAAAGAATTGAACGCTAACTAATGGAACAACTTTGACAAATCCTACTCCAAATCCAGAATAAAATCCTTTAATTCCTTGGGTTTTAGCAATGGTGTTAATAGCCTCAATAGCTGAATTAGCTTTCTTAGCAAGTAATTTTCTTTTAACAACATCTAATGGATAACATAAAGAGAATGCAAGTGAAGAAGATAAGCATCCTTGATAAAGTTTCTTTAATTGACATTCAGGAACTAATGGAGCAACAAAATCAAAACATGCGTGGTTTACTGCTTGGAATGGAGTAACACTTAAAATAGAAAATCCAAGTCCTTTATATAAACCAGAAACACCTTCTTCTTTTATAATAGTACTAGCAGTACCAAAGAATGTATCGTATTTACGAATTTTAGTTGTTTCTATTGTCATTCGAGTTCTTATTACATCAATTGGATGTGACACCATTGTTGAGGCAATAGCACCAAGTGCACCAATAGCAAAATTAACAGAAAATGGTAATTGTAAAGAACGACGAGCATAATAGTCTTTGGCAATTCTTTTTAATGACTCAGTAACAAAGAATTTTACAGCAGTGGTTGGAGCAACTTTCATACAATTAACAAAATTCCCTCTCCATAACCCAATTACTCCTTCATTTGCCAATAAGTCTCTTAACATCTTTGAACCACTCTCATCAGATCGAGCAACTAACAAGGTATGCATACGGTCTAGAGGAGCAACAGCAGTTCTAGAAACTACACCAGCAAAAGCACCTCCAAGCATGAATTGAAATCGTTTATAAGTCATACCTTGTATCATTGAAGAATTAAAGAAATAAAATATATTAGTTCTTTTTGAATGATGATACTATCTACTTTTCTTCATTTATTTAAGAAGATTCAAAAATTGAACTTTCTTTTTTTTTTATTAAAAAATTCTTATTTTCTCTTATTAAAGGAAACCCTTTTTATTAGTACTTTTTTTTTAAGTTTTATGAGTTTATTGGAAAGCTTATTTTGTGGAATAATTTTGCAGTATCTTCCTTTGCAAACTAGAGAGAAAATAAAGTTAATATCTAAAAGATGGGGAATTGCTGAAGTACAACTAAAGATAAAAGAAGAAAAAATGAAAAGAGGGTCAGTTCAAAATATTCTTTTTCATCTAAGACAATTAGATAAAACTGTATTGTTTCATTTAGTAATTTCAACAAAAGAAGAAGTTGATTGTCTACAAACTATTCAATCTTTAGATACTATCATTGGAATTGAAATTAAACAACCAATTGATGCAAAACGAATAATTTATAGAATGAAAAATTTAAAAATAATTAAACAAGTAGCTGGAAGTCAATTAGGAAGTTTAGAAGAAATGAAAAATTTAGAAAAATGGTTTTTATATGATTTAAATATTAATAATAAACAACATTATAATTATTATAAACAAAGTGTAATTAGTATTAGTAAAAAAAATATAAAAAGATTTATTTTTATTAATAAAATAACAGATTTAAAAGAATTAATAAAAATGAAAGATTTATTTTTTGGATGTTGTATTATATTAAAAAGTAAAGAAATATTATATACATATACTTTTAAATATATTGCAATGAAAATTGTATTATTATGGTTATCTACAAAAATAATTACAGTTAGTTGTAATGATTTACAAAATCCTTATTTTAAAACTTTATATAATTATTATCTTCCACAAATTAGTATTAATAATTCTTCATTTTCAACTCTTTTTCCAAATTATATACTTTATTTAAAATTAAATTCTTTACATCTTGGAAATTCTATGAAGTTAATTTCATTACATCATTTAATATTATATATCTCAGGAAAATTATATAAAAATCTTAATTTATCTCAATTATATAATCTTTATTATCTTGTTCTTCATCAAAAAGATGGTTCAACACAATTTATTTTACCTTCATCTATTACTCATCTTTATTTGCATCATATAAACTCTCAAATAATTTTTTTAAATCCTCCTCATTTAAAAGAATTTTATTCAGATGATTCAATACATCAAAATTTTATTCAAAATTAATAAAAAACTTTTTAAATTAATTTAAGAAGTATTTCTCTTCCTTTTTTTATTTTTGTTTTATTCTTTGACCAAATTTATTTATTTGTAATGGACAATGTCATGGATCAAATCATTTAATGTTTGAGACCATGCATCAAGGCATTGATAAATCATATTGTCAAAGTTCTTCTTAACTTGTTGATCATCTTCATCAAACATGAATGCATTTTTCATATATTCAATATCATCTTCATTTTTTAATTCTGGAATACCAGTAGCAAGCATTAATCTAAACAAATAAATAAATAATGATCCTTGTTTTCTTAATGATAATAATGCAGAAGAACATAATTCTTTAAATTCTTTAAAGTCTTTACTTTCAACACCATCTTTATATCCCATTAAATCAGCATAATGTTGTGTAAATTTAAATGGTGTTCTTTCTCTTTTTACTCCGAATTTTGATTTGAAATTACCAAGGAAATGTCCAAAATCGATATGGAAAAAGACACCATCTCTTGTTACCATAACATTGTCACTATGTCTATCTCCAATACCAAGTAAATATGTTGCAACACAATATCCTGCACATGAATGAACAAAATTTTCTACTGCTTGTTCAAAAGTAACTTTACTTTCTGGTCTAGCACATTGTTTTTGCATCCATAATGTTAATACATCATTTTTAGTAACTGCTAATCTTCTTCCATCATCAGCAATAATTTTACCATATGTCTCAGAGTCTTTAACAAGTTCTAACATACCAGTTTCATTACCTGTAGCAATACATTGATACGGTAACATTCTAATATCTAATTCAGCATTTTTAAGCATAGTATACATAATACGTAATATTTGTAATGTTAATATATCTTGTCTTAAATCATCTCCAACTTTTTCAATTACTCTAATATCATCACCTGCTGGATCATAATTTTGAAGTATTAATAATAATGGTTTTTTCTTACTACTAAATACATTTCCACTATTTGGTACTGGTTTTGTAAATCTCATTCTAGAATCAATTGGCAATGCTTGATTATCAGGATATTTTAATTTAGCTAATGCTTCAAACATGTATTGTTTTTGTTCATCTTTAGTTGCAAGTGTTTTAACATGATTAGCAATATCAATAAGATCTAATTGGAATTTAACTTCATTATATAATTCTATTTGATATTTACCACATGCACCTACAAATGCTTCTAATAACAATCCATATCTTTCAGTAACTCTATTATCATGTAATTCTGCTTTTAAGAACCAAAAGAATTGATGTCCAATTCTATTTTTATTTCTTAATGCTCGTCTTAATAAGAACATTGCTAATTCACTATTATGATGTAATTCAAATTTTAATGCTTGAATTAATTGTGGAAGGAACATAATTAACTCTGCATCATCCATTGCATCAAGACATTTTAAAGCAAAATCTCTTACTCTTTGATCTGGGAATTTAAAATCTAACATTTCAATAGCTGTTTGTGGTTCTAATAATGGCCAATCAGATAATAACCTATGTAATTCTGCAACTGCATGTACATCAGTTAAATCAACTGCAGCAACAACTCTTGAAAGATTTTTTGGTTTAGTTTTCTTGACTGTATATCTTAATTTCCAAATTAATTTCATTTCATCTTCTGTTAATTTTTGTAATGGATTTGACTCTAATGCAACTTTGAATTTCTTTGTTTGTTCAGCAGTTAATTTCTCTTTTTCTTGATTATCACTTTTAATATTATCATCATTAAATGCATCCATTAATACTGGTACATCATATGTTGGATATGTAAAAGTAAGGTAAATAGCCCTTTCACCAATATTTTCAGAACACATAGAAATGAAATTTGGAGCTGATAATTCCCATAATCCACATTGAACATTCCCCATAAGTAACATCCCATTGTGATCAACAACTTTACAGTTAATAGTTCCAATAGGATTTTCTTTATTTTTTTCTTTCTTTTCAAGATGGTCAATAGTAACACCAATTTGTTCTTCAGTTTGAAATACTCCAATAACAAGTTTAGTTTCTTTTGGAAGAATTTTTATTGGTAAATCAAATTCCATTACATTATCTAATGTAGCCATACTATTATTAACTTGAAATACTGGTGTGACAACCAATTTTCCTAATTGTCTTGGTCCAAGGAATAATGCAGCAGTAACATAAGCTCTAAAACTAACAATATTTTGATATTCTTGTACAGGAATATCATCTTTATTTTCTTTATTTTTCTTTTGAGGTAATGGTTTATAATAAACACAATTACTTAATTTCTTTAATGTAATGAAATAATTACGTTCAATACTATTTTGACTTTGTCCAGCTTTTTCTGTTTCTACTTTTTCCCATAAGTCATGAGATAATAATGAATTATAAACTCCAGTGAAATTAACATCTATAGGATTTAATGGTCCAATAAATTGATGTAACACTTTTCTTGGTGTAAGATATAAATCAATTTTTTCATGTTTCATAACACATCTTCTAATATAATCAAATTCACATAATTGATATAATGAACCATCTTTTTTCTTTGGAATTAAAAATTCATGTAATCCTCTTACTTTTAAAACAAAATCTTCAGCTTTTTCAGTAGCAGCAAATGCAGCTTGATTTGTAGTAGTAAATTTAGTAAATAAAGCAGAAATAACATTTTCAACAGTATCAGTAGGTAAATGAGAAATAGTTTTATCCATTTTTTGTTCAAATAAATATCCTTTCATAATTAATTTTTTTGTAAGGTCTTGAATAGGAGGTTCATTACCACAATAAACATATTCATTTTCTTCTAATAAATATACATCTAATCCTTTTTTATTTTCTTCTTCTTTACCACAAACAGTTGCTAAAGCTCTTCTAAATTTATAAAATTCATCTCCAATATTTCTACATAATCCAACAAAGTTATTACCAATAATTTCATATTTTAATGTTGATTGTAATAAATATTCTCCAACTGATTCTACTGATGCATATTGAATAACTGCTTTTCTTTCTACAAGGAAAAAATATGGAACTATACCATGATACTGACATCCTTGAACAAATTTTAAATCTTTAAGTGGTTTACGAGAGTCTTCATCAAATACTCTATAACTTAAATTAGGTAATACCAACGCATAATCTCCTTTAATATAAACATTACTTTTACATGTTTCAATAATGGAAGTTCCAATATCATTAACATTCATAGCATACCCATAATATTTTCCTGTTCTATCTTTTACAGCTACAAATACAGTTTCTTGTGTAATAGTAACATTAACATTTGATGGTCTTGGCTCTTTTTTTTCATTTACTTCATCCATATCTTCTTTTTTTAATAAAGATAATGGTGATGGTATTATTCCACTAGACAATGGCTTTGTTTCAATTCTTTTAGGCAACTGAGCAAGGGGTATTCCTTGCCATGTTGTTCTTCTATAAGGTGATGGAATGACATATTGGCTTCGTTTAAGTTCTATCATATTTTTCTTGTGTTATTATCTTTTTTAGTTTTTCTAGTTTTTTTATTGGTTTTTAGTTCTTTTTATTATTTTCTTCTTCCTTTTTGTCTTAGAACTTTTTATTTTTTCTAAGATCATCTGAATTGATGTTTTATAAAAATAAAAACAAATAATTAGATCATCTTAGATGAAATTTATTCAATTTAAATTCTGTTTCTCTTCTTCTTCTTGTTATTATTATAATTTGGTTTTATTCATTTTTTTTTTTGTTTCAAAAATTAATTTTAAGTCTTTGGTTCTTAAAGAATTATTAAATGTTGTATTAATGTTTTTAGAATTGGTTGTTTTATTGTTATTCAAATCTTTTATAGATACGTTTTATGATAAAGCTTTCTTCAATTAAAAAGATAATAATAATAAATTTTAATAACAAGTTTCTATTAAATCTGTAACTCTTAAATCACCGTCATATCTTTTTCATTAAACAAGAAGTAATGATTATTATATTTTTTTGAATAATAATAAATTATTTAAGATATAAACTGTTTTCAAATAGTTTAATAAAAACTAGAATGTTTTTAAAATTAATTTTTTAAATAATAAGCAATTAATTAAGTA